ATTTCTTCAATGATCCATTGCTTGTTCAATAGCGTAGTGTTTAGTCTCCACATCCTTGTGCCTTTCTCAGCTTTTTTCTTGTAATTAATTTCTAGCTTTATAGCATTATTGGAGAAGATGCTTGTTATTGTTTCACTTTTTTTAAATTTCTAGAGGCTTGCCTTGTTTCTCAACACATGGTCTATCCTTGAGAATGTTCCATACGCACTTGAGAAGAATGTGTATTCTGCTGTTTTTGGATGAAGTGTTCTATATATGTCTATTAAGTCCAATTGTTTTAGCTTTTCGTTTAGCTCCACTATTTCCTTGTTGATTTTCTGTCTGGATGATCTGTCCATTGATGTGAGTGGGGTGTTGAGGTCCCCTACTATTATTGTGTTATTTTTAACATCTTCCTTTAGGTCTGTTAATAGTTGCTTTATGAACTTTGGTGCTCCTGTGTTGGGTGCATAGATATTTATAAGCGTTATTTCTTCTTGATGAAGTGTCCCTTTGATCATTATATATTGTCCTTCTGTGTCTCTCTTTACCTGCCTTATTTTGAAATCTGCTTTATCTGATATAAGTATTGCAACACCTGCTTTCTTTTGCTTGCTATTAGCTTGAAGTATTGTCCTCCACCCCTTTACTCTGAGCCTGTGTTTCTCCTTGGGGCTGAGGTGTGTTTCCTGGAGGCAACAAATTGTTGGATCTTGTTCTTTAATCCGTTTTGCCACTCTGTGTCTTTTTATTGGAGAGTTCAATCTGTTTACATTGAGGGTGATTACTGATGCATGTGGACTTAATGCTGTCATTCTGTCGCTCATTATCTGGTTTTTCTGCATTACCTTTGTTTCTCGTCCTGTGTGTTTTTGCCTACCCATTGACTTCTGCAATTTCTTATTTGGGTTTCTTAGATTTTTCCTTATTTATGTTTTGTGTCTCTGTTCTGGTTTTTAGTTTAGTGGCTACCCTGAAGTTTGTATTTAGAATCTTGTGTATAATATAGTCCATTTTCTGGTGGTCTGTTACTTACTTGGCCTAGACTGATTTAGTCCCTTTCCTCTTCCCCTCCTAAATTATTATTTTCCTCTCTTATTCCAACTCGTGTTATGAGTTTGTGGTTAGAGTGATAAGATCGTCTTTGCTTTGGTGGTTTCCTTCCCTTTATCCTAATGCTATAGTTGAATATTTGCTATCCTATTCTGGTTCTATCTGTCTCCCTATTCTCTGGTTTGTGACCCCTTTCTCCCTTTTTTTCTTTTTTCAGGTATGAGAACCTTCTTGAGGATTTCTTGTAGTGGAGGTCTTTTGGTTACAAATTCCCTTAACTTTTGTCTGTCTGGAAAATATTCAGTTTCTCCCTCATATCTGAAGGATATTCTTGCTCGATAGAGTATTCTTGGCTGAAGATTTTTATCCTTTAAAGTTTTGAATATGTCATTCCATTCTCTCCTAGCTTGTAAAGTTTCTGTAAAGAAATCTCTGAAAGTCTGATAGGAGTTCCTTAGTAGGTTATTTTCTTCTGTCTTGCTGCCTTGAGTATTCTTTCTTTGTCATTCATTTTTGCCGTTTTTACTACTATATGCCTTGCAGTAGATCTTTTTACGTTGACAAATCTAGGAGATCTGAAAGCTTTCTCTGCACACATTTCTCCCTCAATTCCTAGATTTGGGAAGTTCTCTTCTATAATTTTGTTAAGCACGCTTTCTTCTCTATTTTCCTTTTCTATGCCCTCAAGTATTCTGATAATTCTTAAATTGGATTTCCTCATTGAATCCACTATTTCTCTGGGATTTTCCTCATTCTTTTTAGTTCTTAGTTCTCTTTCTTCCTCTGTCTGGAGCCATTCAGCCTGTCTATCTTCGATTATGCTAATTTTCTCCTCTATCGTATCTACACGTGCATTCAGGGAATCTGTATTCTCTTTTATCTGATCCATTGTATTTTTCATCTCTAGTATTTCTGATTGATTCTTCTTTATAGTTTCAATCTCTTTTGTGAAGTAACTCCAGAACTCATTGACTTGTTTCTCTGTATTTCCCTTTGCCTCTTTGAGTTTTTTGATGATAGCTACTCTGAACTCATTTTCACTTAGTTTACCTATTTCCAAGTCCTCAGGACTTAATTCTGTATCTTTACTGTTTTCCTTGTGGACTGGAGCTTTTATAAATTGCTGGATGGTTGAGGAGCGGTTTTTGTGCATGATGCTATTATTTGGTTGCAGTTACAGCCTGTCGCCACTAGAAGGGGGTCGAGAGCCATGCGTTCTTAGCCCTCCACCTTCAGTCACGATGGCCGCACGCAGCACAGGTTGGGAGAGGAGGGGCACTTTCTCTCGCGCACCAACCTGGATTCTGATCAGCTCTCCCTCTCTGGTTTCCTGGGACCCTGGCTTGATGGGGTCCCCCCATGCGAAAGCTTTCCCTCATTAGAGGGTTTCCACTGCACCGGCGGTGGGAGTCCTAGATGATCCCACAGACGTGCAGCCCCTCACCCGCTCCTTCCCTCACCTGCGGCAGCAATCCCAGTCTCTAGGGGAGGGAACGAAGTTCTCTCCTACCCTGTTCCAGCTCCTCCAAGGGCGGCTCCAGCCTCTCCACCCTCCGTCGTCGTTTGGCTGCTGTGGGTCTCTGATGATCTCTGTATTATTAAGAGTTATTAGTTGAAATTCAGTTGTTCCATTTTGGTTGTAGTTTGGAGGGGACAGAGTCCCAGGTGAGCTCACTCTGCCATGTCGCTGATGTCCTACATGTGTGCTTTTTAAAATGAGAACTGGGTCTCTCTTGACAGTCCTTTTAAACTGTATTATTTTTAAGCAACACAAACTCAAGGAGAAGGCTCAGCTGGAGTCCAGCCCCATTTGTAATAAAGCATGTTTTAGCGTTGCTCTTTCACAAATAGACCTTTTGTTATTGACAAGGAACTTAGTCCTGTTTTCACTTGATTTTAGACTTCTCTGCTCTTCACTGAAGCTGTTTTGTATTCATGAGTGTTTTGCTCACACAGGAGTTTGGGTTAGTTTTTATTTGCTTCAGGTACTATACTTACATTTTAAGAAAAAAGGGTGGCGTCGTTCATTGATTTGTCTCCATGTCTTCCACTTGGTGTGTTTGCTCACATAGCCGTAGACGAAGATTTTAAGGAAAAGTCTATTTCTAACCTAATTGTGGTAATCATTTTGCAATATATACATATATCAAATCATCACATTGTACACTTTAAACTCATATGTTAATTATATCTCAATAAAGCTGGGGAGAATAAAAAGGAAAGTTTATTTCTTAGTAAAACACCTGTAGGTGAAACTTAATAGTTTGCCCTAACAAAGAAAAAGTTCAAAATAGCCCCAGTTGAATAAGATGTTTTCCAGAAACTAAGTCTTTGCTGAAAGTAAGATGTGAAAATATGCTCTAGATGGGGATTACAAACTTTTTCTGTAAAGGGCCAGGTAGTAAAAGATTTTAGTCTTTGTGGCTCACCCGCAATATGTGTTGCTAATTTTTTTAATTTTTTTAAAAACAACCCTTAAAGATGTAGAAATCATTCTTAGCTGGTGTGTGTGTGTGTTTGCGGGCAGAGGGTGTACCCCTGCCATGCAACCACAAGCTGTAGATTGCTGATCCCTGCTCCACTAGAAACATTCCTTATCATGATCAGGGCTCCTTGGAGAAGTTGCTGATTCTAAAGCCAGAGAAGAGAAAATACAAGAGGAGCCTGGAGCTTCCGGTAGTGCCAGAAAGTGAGGAAGTGTTGGAGGGAAAAAGAAAAGGGGGGAGCATGTCCAAAGGAGCCAGCAGTCAACTTTAAAGAGTTCCCAGGGGCCAAAGCTGGAACAGTGTGAGCGACAACATAATGATAATATTGGATTATAAACCCAAAGAATAGAAAATAAATATCTATGAATCTGTAACTATCTAATTGAATGAACAAATAAGTGAGGGAGAAGGGAGAAATCTTCCTTGAGGAAGAATTCCAAATAATGGTTGTAGAAGGAATGAGGAAAATAGACAATCACCATTAGAACATCACAGTGTTAATTGCTGCAGGCAAGATTCACTGACAAATGTGAAAATTGGTGTGCAAAACTTTAAGGAGACACAGGATATTTGCATAGCCTCAGAGTGTCTCCCCGACATGTTGATTACTGTAGTGGTTTTTACGTCTAGAAATTCTGTAATATTCCTCCCTCCAGGGAGTACAGCTTAATTCCCTTCCCTGTGAGTGTGCAGTGGACTCGGTGACTCGCTTTTAAGGAAGAGAGTATGTAAAGGGAAAGTGGTAACTTTGCAGTGGTGAAACCTGGCAGAAACCACCTGACCACGTGATCATGGTTCTCATCACCAGGAATGAGGGGTGCCGACATCGTGTGTTCTTGACATGATGCAACAAGAAGGGCAGACCACTACTGTGGGATTCTGGATTCTTCCAAATGTCTATAACCTTGGTCCATTCTTGAGAAAATATCAGACAACTCAAATTGAAGGAAATACTACAAAATAACTGACCACTGCTCTTCAAAAGTGTCGGTTAGGAAACATAAGGAAAGACTGAGAAACAGCAGAGATTGGAGGAGACTGAGGGGACATGATGATTAAACGCAGCGTTGTTAGCCTGGATTGACTCCTGGAAAAGAAAAAGAACATTAGTGAAAAAAATGGTAAAATCCAAATAAAGTCTGAAATTTAGTAGTATTGTACCAATGTTACTATTTTAGTTTTGATAAATTTACCATGGTAACGTAAGACGTTAATGTTAATGGAAGCTGGGTGAAGGGTATATGAGGACTGTCTCTGTTGTTTCTGGAACTCTTCTGTAAATCTTAAGATTGTTTCAAAATAAAGTTTAAAAAAAACCCAGCTTCTTGTCCTGGATTAGTCATCAGCTTTATCTTGGGCACTTTAGCATTGTTTTGTTAACTCTTGATCCCATTTCCATCTGGTAGAAAATAAATTGGTTTACTTATATAAAGATGATTTTGCAATGGCCATGTTTTTAATATTATTTCTCTGTCTTTCCAGGTGAGGCACCTGCTGTGGAAGTTTCCTCATCCTTTGTGATCCTATCTGTGTGCAGTTTAATGATATTAATAGTGTTAATTGCCAACTGTGTATCCTGCTGTAAGGACCCAGAAATAGACTTTAAGGTGAGCACAGACAGGAGGAATGTTTAAAATCGTCTTCTGATACATTTATCAATGGAATGGCTATATATCACACTCCCTTGGGAGTAGGGGACTTTTTCAGCAAACTTTTTCTATAAGGACCGGATAGTAAGTATTTCTGCCATTGTAAATAGTAAATACTGTGGGCCGTACAGTCTCTGTCACAGCTACTCAACTCTCAACTCTGCCATTGTGGTGCTATGTCAGTCATAGACAATATGTAAGCAAATGGCCCTGTTCCAGTAAAACTTTATTTATAAAAATAGGTGGTTTGGATTGGTCCACCAGCTGTAGTTTGCTAACCCTGCCTGAGAGCATCGTTGACAATAACTCTTTATCTGTTTTAATTGATTTTGCTAAGTGAGGAATAAAGCATGATGATTGAATTCACTTGCAATAAAGCCTAGAAGGAAGGGCAGGCTGGTTTTGATTTATTTCCAAACTTTTGTGCACTGATGAATGTATGGTTAAGATTATTGAGGCCAAGGGATCCCCCAGTGTGTTTTGTATATGAAGAAGAACATCTTTCAGTTTACCTCTAACCCTTGACTTCCCTAAGGGGGAGAAAAAAAGAATGCTGCTGATTGTAAACCCTGGGGAGTGGGGGATGGGGGAGTGGCTGGTAACATAGAAGGGCTGGGTTGTAGCCACAGATGGGTAGAATCTGCCAGAAAGCAGCTGGGAAATCCTGCTGTAGAGCTTACCACATGCCTGCTGGCTTGTATTAGGGCTCAGTCAATACTTGTTGAAAAGGAATACATAGGAAAGAAAAAAAAAAGGGATTCATGCGTGCAGAGAAAATAGTCCTTAATGTAGAGCCCTACTGGCTGTCCCCAGGGCCACTGGCTCAATTTGGGGAAAGAGAAAGCTGTCTTGTAGCTAAAACCTTTTTAGTGGATGCAGGAACCTTATTTCTAGAGCCTCACACCTGTTTCTGTTATGTGTTCTCTTTACCTTGAGTCTGGTGGCAGCTCTGAGGAGGTAAGGACATGTGCCATCCTCTCGGCTCCACACTAGCATTATACACACGGAAGGTTGAGGACAAAGGATGACTGGAGGAGCAGACTTCACTAGCACAGATCATTGCCTTGAGAAGATTTCACCCCAGACGTGTAGGGCTTTATTCATGACATCGGCGCCTAGGTGCTAGAATCACTGCAGACACTTCCGTGGAAAATTAATGACTGTGCCACATGGGGACACAGTGGCAAGCAGAAAATCTGTGTTGCTTGACTTTCTTGCTGAGGGGCTTTGCACAGACACCTGGCCATTTGGGGACAGAGATAAAGTCTGATCAGCGTTGCTGAAGCTGAAATCTCGTGTCTCTCCCACGTGTCATGGTGCCTCATTCCTGCCTTGGCTTGTTCCAACCCGCCTGAATCTCAGCATTGACCCAGGGAGTTTATAGGAGATCCTCTCCAGCTCTGCACACTATGTGATGGAGGAAGATCACCGTCTGTAATTTGTGGGTTTCCTTTAGCTTTAGAACTGTGCACTTTTAGAGAGGAGTGGTCCCTGGGAAGTCATCTTCCAGACCAGGACGCTACAGTCTGGTAAAGTAAGGGACCTGCCCCAGTGCCTCCTGATAGCCACTGGCATAATTTAGAAGTGACCCAGTCTTCTCTCACAGCCTCATTTATAAAAAATTATACTGTTGCCTCCCTGAATCTTTAGAATCATCTGCTGCCTAATAGTATATCATGCTGCTGCCAAAGTTTTGAGTGGCATTATCTTTAAGTTAGAAGTGATGGATAAAGTCTTTTTTAAGGAGAGAACCTTTAGGAATGTCCAAATGGAAAATTGAACAGAGCTCTCTGTTTAGAGGTACCCTTACAGATTGAAGTTATGCTACCTCATTGTCCTGCTCCCCCCTCCCCTGTCACACATGGCAGTAACGTCCTATTGCATTTGACAACGTGTGACATACGTGAGAATGATATCCTTTCACATGCACATGAGAACATGAATGTTGTGTCAGAGAAATCTACCCTTATAACTTAGTTTCTTCCTTGTATGGGCGCCAAGGGGGAAGTGGTAGAAAAGGAAAGTGGAAAGAAGGGTGTTCCATAGAGGAATGGAAAACAGTCTTGTTCACTGTTCTGTTATCAGCTTCTGTTGTGGTGCCTGGGGGGTAATACTTGTTAGTTAACAAGCAAATGACCCTGCTAATCATCTGTATCTGTGTTAAATTAACATGACCTCGAGTAGACCCAGCTCACTGGAATAATAGGAAGAGTCAGGTTAGCTTTCTGCTGAACACAGTTCCTTAAAAGGTTTCCACAGCTTTATTGGTGCAGGCTCAATTTTAAAGTTGCCGTCTTTAGAAAACTGGATGTCCTTAGAGTGTTAATTGCACTTACTTGCTACGCAGTTTTATATTAACCTCTGTGGTTCAGATCTTGATTGTTCTACCCGGCTTAGTAATTTTTCCATTGTTGCTCTTTCCAGAGAAATAGGACTCGCTTAAAAAATATTTTTGCTGTCTTTTCACTGACCTTATTGAAATGTGTATACAATTTAAAAATAAATTTGTTTTGATTTAGTATGCAAAGAGATTTGTGAAAGTGAATTAAAAAAAGAATAGATTAAACTATAGTAACTTAAAAGTCAAATTTTGAACCTAGAAGAGTATTTCCATTTTAAATTTCGTGGTCATTTTAGAAAATTTTGCATTTAACTTTAGGCTGTCAGTTTAAAAAGTTACATAAAGCATGTGTAATTTCTTTTCAAATCTTATTCTGCTATATATGCTCTTTACTTGAAGTAAGTACGAATTGGAAAAAAAATTATGGCAGCATATTCCAAATGAATGAATAAACGTTCCTATCTTAAATGTTAGCAAATGTTTTTAATGTTTGCTCTCAAACTGATTTATATTGGCTATAACATTGCTCTTCTTTTATGTTAGGAATTTGAAGATAATTTTGATGATGAAATAGATTTCACACCACCAGCAGAAGATACTCCCTCCGTTCAATCCCCAGCAGAAGTTTTCACCCTTTCAGTACCAAATATTTCACTACCAGCTCCATCACAATTCCAGCCTTCTGTAGGTAAGACCTCATGTCCTAATGTCATGTGTTGGTGAGTTATTTCTGAGAAGTGAGAATGGGTGCCTTGCTGCTAATCATAAAATAATTGGGCTGCCTGTCTTCTCTGCTTGCTTTTCCTTTTGCTTCTTGGTAAAGCTGCACTCTAGTGCTCAGGCCCATTGCATTCCTGCAAAAGCTGAGTTCTTTCCTTTTGGACCCTGGATCTGGCGTAAGAGTAAACTAGTCTCCTCGATTCATTGAAATGAAACTCTCAGACAGAGCTCCTGGCCTGTGTTTTGGTAGACAGGCTTCTCTGCTGGTTCTCCACACTGCTTGTCTTGCTGAGTAGGATCCTGCCGTCTTCTCCTGGGATGTCCGGTGTTTGGGGAGGAAGCATATATTTGGATAAATTAATTGGGTTGACTTTTCATCCTAAGGTAGAGGTTTGATTAAATGTTAATTGATTTTTTGTTATAAAATTGAATATGACTGGTGGTCCAAGAATTAGGGATTTCTAAGACTGCCAAGAGTGTTGGTAGGTGCCGGTCCTGCCGTTTGTGGTACTGTGCCCACCGTGGTGTCTGTTCAGGGCAGTATAAACCCAACAGTTGATTATACTGCTGTAGGCATGTGTGACTAAAAGAAAAAGTAACTTAAAACATGACGCAGCTGGTGCATTTCATATAAAATATTTGTAAAGTTGGGTGTATTTAACATTTGTAGATTTCGCAGCATTAAGAAAAATGACATGTAGTATTTAGCTTTAATTTCTATAAGTAACAATACTACCATTACTTCAACCAAAATAGTGAAGTTTAAAAGGAGTCTGATATGTCCCTGGGATAAGGTAAACGTGAGTATACTCAACTCTAACTAGAAATATTGTATCTTATATCTGCTTACTTGATAATATACTTTAGGGAAGTCCTGAGAGGCTTCTCCAGGCCTGGAGTCTAACTCTCAGGAATTTATTTCAAGTAACAGAATCCTAACTCAGCTCAGCATATGTAGAACAGGGAATTTTCTGATCCGTGGAACCAGCCCCTGGCAAGAGCAGGGGTTAAGCTGACTTAGAGACAGCTAGAGCCAGGTACTCAGGCACCGTCAGCACTACACATTCAGTCCACATTTTCTCTTCTCTTTGCATGTTGGCTTAGTCTCGCAGGCTTCTTTCCTCAGTAGGGAGCATGGCTGCTGCCACCTCCAGGTTCATATCCTTGTAGCGTTACAGCCAGACAGGAAAGGAACTTCTCTCTCCTCTGGCTAGAAAGAAAACCCTTGGAGAGCCATTCTGGTTGGCTTCACCTGAGTCAGATGATGTGGCTATTGCAGCACTCTCTGGCAGTATAAAATGGAACCAGGTTAAAGTCGATGTGTAGCTTGTTAAATTATGGTAAATCCATACAGTGGAATATCAAGTGGTCCTATAAAAGGATGCAGGTGAACGATATTTGATATGAAAGATGTTTGTAATGTATTAAGTGAAAAAGGCTCACCACATTCCAAAGCAAGTCTGGAAGAAGCTCTACCCGTTTTTTTCCTTTTTTCTCTTTTTAAAGCATATTTTATTTTTTGAATAGATAATGTAGTTACGTGGTTCAAAAATCAAAACTTAGAAAGGTACATATGGTAAAAAGTCTCTCTCTAGTCTTCGACTCTGACCTGACCTCCCACCCCCACCTTCCCTAGGTAGCTTCTTGGTTTCCTACACATCTTTCCAGTTTCTTGATGCAAATATTCCCCTCTCCCTCCCTTTTTTTAACTCAAAGGTGGCATGGTAAATATATTATTCTGCATCTTGCTTTTCCCGCTTACCAGTATGCTTTAGAGATCTTTCCGTAAGAATAAAGAGAGCTTGTTTGTTTTTGCTAACAGGGTCATACTATGTAAATTGTGTGGACCTAGCACAGTTTATTTCCCGGTCTCCTATTGATGGCTATTTGAGTTGTTTCTAATCAAAGCTTTTACCTATGCGGGTTTCCACGTTGTTGTTGTGCTAGTATAGTTGTAGAATAAATTTTTAAAAGTGGGTCACAGAGTACATGTGTTTGTTATTTTCATGAATATTGCCGACTCACCCTCCGCGGGAGGTTTGCCAAGTTATATTCCTGCCAGTTGGGTGTCAAATGGTATATTCTGTTGCTATTGAAGCTAAATTGGTATCAGTTCAAACTAGATTGTTCTAAATTTAGGATGATAACTGTAATCTCCATGGTAACCACTAAGAAAATAGCTAAAAAACATACAGAAAAGGAAATAAGAGGAAATCAAAGTATACACTAAAAATATTAAATATAAACAAAAAATAACTTTTTCATGAACAAGGATCCTAATTTTAATATAGCCAAATTTAATCTGTTTTTTAGAGTTAGAGCTTTTTCTGTCTTAAGAAATGCTTTCCACAAAATATAATGATGTACACCTGAAATTTATATAATGTCATAAACTAATATTACCTCAACAAAAAAAAAAGAAAGAAATCCTTTCCTATTCTGTGATCAAAATGATATTTAACCACTTCCTTTTCAATATTTTAAGGTTTTTCTTTGGCATTTAAATTAATTAAAATCCATGACTCATCCTGAAGTGATTTTGAGTATGGTGTTAGGAGAGAGTCCATGAGTTTTCCTTGTAGATTGCTATGTCTTTTTCAGCTTCATTTATTGATTGGTCCGTCCTTCCCTCTCTGCTTTTTAGTTCCATATGTGTGTGCATCTGCTTTCGGCTTTCTATTCTATTTCATTAGTTAATTTATCAATTCCTTGTCCCAGTACCACAGTATCTTAATTATAATAGCCTCATAATAATATATGATTTTCAAATATTTTCTCCCATTCTGTGGGTGGTCTTTTCACTCTTTTGGTAGTGTCCTTTGATACACAAAAGTTTTTAACTTTGATGAAATCCAATTTATCTGTTTTTTTCTGTTGTTGCTTGTGCTTTTGGTATCATATTTAAGAACCACTGTCACATCCCAGGTCATGAAGATTTGCTCCTATATCATTTTCTATGACTTTTATAGTTTTAGCTTTTAAATTTAGGTCTTTGACCCATTAATTTTTGTATATGGTATGAGGTAAGGGTCTCAGCTCATTTTTTTTAATAGTGTTTATTTATTTATTTTTGAGGAAGATTAACCCTGAGCTAACATCTGCTGCCAATCCTCCTCTTTTTGCTGAGGAAGACTGGCCCTGAGCTAGCATCTGTGCCCTTCTTCCTCTACCTTATATGTGGGACATCTGCCACAGCATGGCTTGCCAAGCGGTGCCATGTCTGCCCCTGGGATCCAAACCGGCAAACCCTAGGCTGCTGTGAAGCAGGACGTGTGAACTTAACCCCTGCACCACCAGGCCGGCCCCCAGGTTCATTCTTTTACAGGTGGATAGCTAGTTGTCTTGGCAACAGTGTTTGAAGAGACTGTTCTTTCGCCATTAAATTGTCTTGGTACCCTTATTAAAAATCAATTGACCATACTTCCCTGGGTTTATTTGCAGACTCTCAAGTGTATTCCATTGATCTGTATGTTCATCCTTATGCCAGTACCATGCTGTTTTGATTATTGTAGCTTTGTAGTAAGTTTTGAAATTGAGAAGTATGATTCTTCCAACTTTGTTTTTCTTTTTCAAGATTGTTTTGGCTATTCAGAGTCCCTTGCGATTCCGTATGAATTTTAGGATCAGTTTTTCCATTTCTGCAAAACAGGCCTTTGGAGTTATGTGTGTGTGTCTATGTGTACCATTATGATCCTCTTCTCATTCCCTTTTGTGTATATATTTTAGATATCTTCTTAGTGATTGCAGTGGGGATTACAGTTACCTTAAATTTATAACAGTTGAGTTTGGATTGATACTGACTTAGCTTTAATAGCATCCAGAAACGCTGCTCCTATATACAACTCAGTCCCTTTGATGTTGTCACAAATTACGTCTTTATATGTTGTGTGCTGATTCACACAGATTTATAATTTTTTATGCATTTATCATTTAAGTAAGAAGTAAAAAGAGTATACACCAAAAATACGATAATACTGGCTTTTCTATTTACCTATGTAGTTACCTTTACCAGAGATCTTTATTTCTTCATATGGGTTCCGGTTAATGTTTGGTGTCCTTTTATTTTAGCCTCCGTTTAACAATTGTAGGGCAGGTGTATTGGCAGCAGACTTCCTAAACTTTTGTTTATCTGGGAAAGTCTTAATTTCTCCCTCATTTTTGGAAGATAGTTTTGCCAGCTATAGAATTCTTGGTGAATGGTCCTTTTCTTGCAGCATTTTGTATATGTCATCTCACTGCCTTCTGGCCTCCATGGTTTCTGATGAGAAATTGTGTGGCAGTCCTTGAAGATCCCTTGTACATGATGAGTTGCTCTCTCTTGCTGCTTTCAAGATTCTCTGTCTTTGGTTAACAGTTTGATTATAATGGGTCTCGGTGTGGATCTCTTTGAGGATATCTTACTTGGACTTTGTTGAACTTCTTGGATGTGTAGATTCTTGTCTTTTAACAGATTTGGGATGTTTTTTGCCGTTATATCTTCAAATATTCTTCCTGTCTCCTTTTCTCTCTCGTCTTCTGGGACTCTCATTATGTGTATGTTGGTCCACTTGATGGTATCCCACAACTCCCTTAGACCTTGTTCATTGATTTTTTTCATTCTTTTTTCTTTCTGCTCCTCAGACTGGATAGTTTCAAATTTGACCTATATTGAAGTTCATTGATTAGTCTATCTGCTGAAATCTGTTGTGGAACCCTTGTGGTGAATTTTTTATTTTGGTATTGTACTTTTCAGTGCCAAGATTCTATGTGGCTCCTTTTAATAATTTTTATCTGTCTATTGATCTTGTCTACTTATTGGGAAATCATGTCCATGATTTCCTTTAGCCCTTTCAGCATATTTAAAAGAGAGTTAATTTAAAGTTTTGTCTAGTAAGGCCAGTGTCTATGTTTTCTCAGGGACACTTTCTTTTAAATTTCTTTTGTACGTGTGAATGGACCATACTTTCTTGTTTCTTTGCATGTTTTGTAGTTTTTTGTTGCAAACTGGATATTTTGAATAATATGATGTGCAAAAAAGAAGAAGAGAAAGAAAACAACAGAATGTACTCTGGGTCCTTGCACCTTGGCTCTGTGTTGGGGCACTTGTCACCCAGGCCACTTACTGCTCTGCCTTAGCCTTCACTTCCTGCTTGTGCTGAGCATGAGCCAGAGGTGGAAGCTTATATTCTTCTCAAGTCTTTTCTGAGTGTGTGTCCGTCCCTGAGCACGCGTGTGGCTCTCTAGGTTCCCTCATATATGCAGTAGTTTTTCAAAGCCCCCATTCCCCCCAAAAGTCTCACTCCCCAGCATTTCCCCCAAAGCTTTCAGCATGTCTACTGTTTGCCTCAGCTGTTATTTTTTGCCCCAGGTGGCAGTGCCTTGTTCATTTGCCTTTCAGTGTTTTCAGGGAATGTGTAGCTGTTGCATTCTGATAGAGTTCGAGTTAGGTGAAACAAGGGGAAGCCACTTCCGGCAGTCCTTCCAGGAAACCCTAGTGTGGTCAAATGAAACAGTTTCTTGGGAAGAAGGTCCATTCTGCTCCCTCTGGAGCCAGTACCCACACTGGAACTTGGCTCATCTTTAAGACTGCTGCTGTGCCGGGGGAGGGAGGTGGGGCCAGGGTAAATGAAAAGCCACAAAATAATTCTGCCCTGTTTCAGTGGTGTTTCTTCTGGTTCACTTCAGTTGCTGTAAACCTTTGACTATCTTCCATAGTTTTGATAAGGTGGGTGCTGACAGTTTTTGACAAGATTTTTAGCATTTCTAGGGAGGGACAGTCCCCAGAGGGCCCTATTCCACCATAAAACTAAAGACCAAGTAAAGGCCAATGGAATGGTGAGAATGGTTATAGTGGAGTAGTTGGATCAGAAGAAACAGTGCAAGGTGTTAAAGAATCAGGGTAGGATACTCATTCAAAAATCTTGTCAGTTTTGAAACTTGAAATTGTTTGGCATTATTAGTTTGAAAGAGATGTTTTATGTATTTCTACCTTTATTAGCACAAGCATTAAATTTATGTTAGTGTTTGTACTTTGTAGGTTATATGTTTAATATTTATTTTATTTCCATTAAGTGCTTATATTTAGTTTTTATGTTCTTTTTCTACAGAAGGTTTGAAGTCTCAAGTTGCCCGCCACAGTCTAAATTATATACAGGAAATTGGAAATGGCTGGTTTGGAAAGGTAAAATGTTGTTCGCTTTCAATTTTTCCCCTCCTGGTTATACTGTTTAGAATTTAAAGCTAATTAAGAATTATATTGTGTGACTTCTACATTCTCTCTAGACGTTAAGTACCAATCGAGTTTCCCCATTGCCCCCTGACACTGCACGGGAATGCGAGCTTCAGCAGTCCTGGTGTATAGGCTTTTCCGAGCAGGGCTTTTATTTAGATACCAAAGACTTTTCTGACTGTTGACATAAGAACAGTAAGAAGGGGAAAGAGACCAGAATTTCGGAAGCTTTTTATCCTCCGCAAGTTAAATTATTTGTTTTTTTCTTCTTTTCCCCCTGTCTCCTTAGTTTTCTTCCCCCTTCCCCATATGGCACTTAAAACACTTTAGAATTGTAGATGATAGACTTTTTATAAGAGGAACTGTTCTCTATTCCTTGTAGTGTGTCGAGTGGCCTGTAGTCATAGTGCTTTGTTGGTCTTTTTACCGCAGGTTGCTCAGGAGGAATGATCTTAGTCTGGCAGCTGTTTCTGTGATGTAGCAGTCGTTCCCTGTGGAATGTTCTAACTGAGGGCTGGTTGCACCATAGGCAGGGCAGTCAAGTCGGGAAGATGTATTTGCTCTGTAATCAGCCATCTTGTGTTTCTTGTCTTTTCCATTCAGAGTTGTCTGTCAGTCCTGCATCTTTGATGTTGTCCCAACTTCATTAGTTACCAAGTCTTTTAAGCCATTTATCAAAATCTGTTGTGTATCAGGCGTTGTTCTCGGTGGTGGGAGGCGATCTGGAGGCAGAGGGTAAGTCCTGGCCTGTGGAGTGCTGGGAGCGTAGCAGCAAACAGGATAGAGCCCTGGCCTGCCAAGACTTAGATTTCTGGGGTGGCGCTGATCAGACAGGGAATAGTCAGTGGTAGGAGACAAGCTCAGAGGGGTGTAGGGGCGCCAGGTGATGGGAGATGTTCTATGCATTTAGACTTTGGCTTTGCCTAGAGTGAGATGGGAAGGTACTCCAGAGTCTGAGAGATGACTGATGTAATCTGGCTTCCCTTTTAAAAGGATCACTCTGGCAGTTACATTGTAGAGGGCCAAGGGGAAAGCAGGGGAATTGGGTAGGAGGCCACTGCAGTCCTACAGGGAGAGATGCAAGCAGGCTTGGACCTGGATGATAGCTTGGGGTTTTGAGAAATGGTGTGACCCAAGGTGGAGTTCTGAATAAGAGCATACAGGACTTGGGACGGATCAGAGATGGAGTTGGAGAAGGAGGGGAGTCAGGAATGACTGCCTGTGGCCTGAGTGACGGGAAGAATGGAGTTGCTGTTGACTGAAATGGGAAAGACTAAGGAGAAGCAGGGGCAGAGGAGGAAGTCAGTCAGGAGTTCGCTTTTGGGTATGTTAGGTGGGTCATCCAAATGGAGGTATCAAGTAGGCGGTTGGAAAAACAAGTCTAGAGTTCAAGAGAGAGGTTCCAGGCCAGAGATGTAAATTTGGGAGAACTCAGTTTATCGATGGTGTTTAAAGGTATGAGACTAGATGAAATGACCGAGAATGTGAACACAGAGAAGAGGGGGAGGCGCAAGGACTGAGCCCTGAGGCTCTGCAGCATGGAGAGGTCAGCGCAGTCGGGGAGACCAGTGAAGGAAGCAGAAGAATCAGCCAGTGAGCAGGAAGAGATGCAGGAGGCAGGACTTTTCTGAAAGTCAGTGAAGGAGTTCCAAGAAGATGAATTATAGGAAATGCTGCTGACACATTGAGTAAGATCAAGACTGGGATGATTAGGATGTGGCAACATGAGCTCCACAGCATCCTCAAAAGAGCCGCTTAGGGGTCACATCCTCACGTGGAGTGGGTTCAAGGGAGGAAGTGGAGACAGCATGTTTAGACAACTCTGATAAGGAGTTTTACTCTAAAGGGGAGCAGAGAAATGCAGTACAAGCTGTTTGGGACCATCCAAGGGCCAAGGGGAGGTTTTTTGATTTGCTTTGTTTTTTTTATAGGATGTGCGGCTATTTTAGCATGTTTATATGACGGGGAGAAAGTGATTATGCAGGAGAGAGGGGGGTAATTGTAGGAGGGATCCATAGCACATTTGTAGGACTTGGTGTTAGGAGCAGAGACAGTTTCTCTCTTGAAATGAAAGGAAAAGCAGAGGGAGTGGATACAGGTGCAGGTGGGTGTGGTGTTAAAGTGAGGGAGTTCATTTCTGATTATTTTATTCAGTGAATAAGAGGCCGGTTTGAAAGGGAGGAGCAAAAAGATGTGCTGGAAGTTTGGATAGGAGGAGAAGGTGTGTAAGAGGCCTCTGGGGAAGTCTGTTAACTAGGGCAGGGCAATGATGGGCAGTGCTGAGGACCCTCGCCAATTTAAAATGGGACCAGTCATCGTGGTTGTGTGTTTTTGCCTACTTTTGGTGCTTTTTTTATTGTAGGCAGGTAGTTGAATGTAAGCAGCACTGGGGTTGGCCAAGCTATCATAACTCAGTGAGAGTGATGATACTGAAGGAGCATGGGGTCTAAGCTGTCAGGGAGAGGAGTGAGGCCCCGGGCTGGTGGAAAAGTGGTACCATTAATGAATTTGGGGGGCAGGTTGTGCACTTGTTGGACTGGACTCTTGAAGTAAGTGAGCTGGAAGTCAAAGGACTGGTAGAGAAGAAGTTAGTTTTGGACATAATACAATTATTAGCTAGGTCTACACCCATGGAAGTGTTTCCTGAGACGGGGTCGTAGAAAAGATTATTGGAAGTGAGGTCAAAGAACTGAGAGGTCCAGGGGTTGAATGAATTGTCGCTGCAGATATTGAACACCAGGAATGATAACAGTGATGGCGGAGAGAGAGACAACGAGCCAGGTTATTGCAGTAGTCTGTTAATTATTCTCCCCCTTCTTTGAAATTGATATCTTTTGAGTGTCAGGCTTATGCACAAGCTGGTTCTTTGAAACAAAGAATAAGACATAGTTAATTATCAGAATTTCTTGTTCTGTTCATTTTTTTACCCTTATATTCCTAATAAACACATTAAATTTTGTTCAAGTTCTTACTTTCTATTTCCCGGGCATTAAAATTAATCTGTTTTATGAAACTGTGAAAAACTATCTTAAAAGGAAGCCTTTTAGTTTTGATCATTCTCAAATTAAATTAAAGCTTTTACTTCATCAAAATTTCTACCTTAAATATTGTATTTTGGAATGCTTTTGCACTGTCCTATATTATATTTAATGTTTCACTTATAGCTTGTTCTTATTTTCATTCTCATTTTGTGTTCTGTTAATTTCCGTAGACTATATTTCCCCTGTGTTTTGACTGGAGGTTTAGTACAAGATAAAGGCCTGGAATAATTGGAATGCCATGGATTTTTAAAGTTAGAATGCAGTGATAGTTTGTTTGTACCTTGGCTGTTTGTCACTTTACTTTTTCATATGTGCAGGAGACAAAGTAACAAAACTCAGTTGAAGTGTTTTTGAGAAACATTTGAGTTATGTTTGAACTGAACTTAGAAATTTCTGTAGTGTCATTGGTAATTTCCATGAAAGTGTAATACATTTTTAAGTAAATAGAAAAGAATTACATATAAATATATGAATGTTATAAATATCTGATGGAGTGATTTAAAACTGAAGGAAAATATTTTAGTTTTCCAAGCTTTTTTGGATGTAGTATGTAAAATAATTGAAGGCCATGTGCTTGTTGCTTAATTCCTTTTCCTGTATTCCATTTCCTGATAAGTGAGATGCACTTCTTTACGTTTTGATGGAAGTGAAATGAAAAAACTGTCCTTTGGTTTTAGGTCCTCCTTGGAGAGATTTACACGGGCACTAGTGTAGCAAGAGTAATAGTGAAGGAGCTAAAAGCAAGTGCAAGCCCAAAGGAACAGGATACTTTTTTGAAAAATGGAGAACCTTACTAGTAAGTAAACCTTAATATATGTTCTGCAAACGTAGTCTGTGGTCTGTTGACAGTCAGGTGTTTAAAACGACTTTCTTGCAAAATACATAATTTAAATAAGCTCCAGAGTCTCATAACATAAGACCCAAATGTCCAGGTTTCAATCGAAATCACTCCTCATTCCAAGAACCAAGAGGACTCAACTCGAGTAAGAAAGGACAACAGATGCCGACACCAGGATGACAGAGAAGCTGGAATTATCTGACAAGGATTTTAAAGCGGCCATCGTAAAAATGTTTCAATGAGCAATTAAATTACAGCACCCTTGAAACAAATGAAGAAATGCAGTGTCTCAGCAAAGAAGTAGAAGACCATAAAGAGGACCCAAATGGCAATTTTACAACCGAAAAATATCGTAACTGAAATGAAAAGCTCATTGGATGAGCTCAGTAGCAGAATGGAGAGGATAGAGGAAAGAATCAGTGAAGTTGAAGACAAAAGAATAGATATTGCCCGATTTGAACAACAAGGAGAAAATAGACTTAAAATGAACAGAGCCTCAGGGACATGAGGGACTGTAACAAAAGATCTTCACATTCATGTCACAGACATCCCAGAATGAAAGGAGATAGAAGATGGGGCTGAAAAAGTATTTGAAGAAATATTAGCCAAAACTTTCCCAAATTTGGAAAAGACACTCCTACAGATTCGAGAAGTTGAGCAAATCTCAGACAAGATAAACCCAAAGAAATCCATGCCAAGACATGCCGTAGTCAAACTTGTGAAAATTACAGACGAACAAAAAATCTTAAAAGCAGAGAGAGAGAAACGACACCTTACTTATAAAGAGTTACATTAGAAAAGAAGAAAAGTCTCAAATCAGTAATCTAAGCTCATACCTTAAGAAACTAGAAAAAGAAGAGCTTAAAGCATGAATGAAAAGAATGAACTTAAAGCATACAGAAGGAAGTAAATATTAAAGATAAGAGCAGAAATCAATAAAGTTTAGAACAGGAAAACGATAGATAAAATCAATGAAACATAAAGCTGGCTCTTTGGAAAGATAATAAAATTGACACTCCTCTAGCAAGACCGATAAAGAATAAAAGAAGACACAGATTACCGGTATCAGGATTGAAACAGGGATATCACTGTAAGACCCTGAAGATATCAAAAGGCTAGTAAGGGGCCAGCAGCTCTACATATTTGACAACTTAGATGAAATGAACCAATTCCTCAAAAAGCGCAAATCACCGCAACTCACCCAATATGAAATAGATTATTTGAATAGACCTATAAGTATTAAAGAAATGGAATTTGCAGCTTACAAACTCTCAAAAAGAATCTCCAGGCTTAGATGATTTCACCGTAGAATTCTACAAATGTTTAAAGATGAATTAATACCGATTCTACACAATATTTTCTAGAAAATAGAAGAGGAAGGAAAACTTCTCAACTCATTTTATGAAGCCAGTATTACCCCGATACCAAAATCTGACAAAGACAGTACAAAAAAGGAAACTATAGACCAGTATATCTGTCACCAATATTGATGTAAAAATTCTTACCAAAATATTAGCAAATAGAATTTAGCAATATATGAAAAGGTATACATCATAACCGATTGGAGTTTATGCCAGGGATGCTAGTCTGGTTCAGTATTTGAAAATAAATCAATGTAATCCACCATATTAATTGGGTAAAGAAGAAATATCACGTGATTATATCAGTTGGTGGAGAAAAACAAGTGACAAAACCCCACACTAATTCATGATAAAAACTCTTTCAAAACTAGAATTAGAAAACTTCCTCCACTTGATAAAGAACATCTGCAAAAACACATCTAGCATCATACTTAATGGTGAAAGACAGGACTTTTACCCCCAAGATCAAGGCAAAGCACTGCTATTCAACATATTCTTGAAAGTTCCAGCCAGCTCAATAAGGCAAGAAAAGGAAACAAAAGGCATATAGATCAGAAAGGAAGAAGTAAATGTCTCTGTTTGTGGATGACATGATGCTTTATGTAGAAAATTCTGAGGAACCTACAAAAAAATCCCCTGGAATTAATAAATGAATTCAGCAAAGTTGCAGGATACATGATCAACATACAAAAGTCAATTTTATTACTATATACTAGCAATGAACATGTGGAAACCAAAATTTAACATAAAATAACATTTGCACTCGCTCAAAAGCAAAAATGAAATACTTAAGTACACATGCAGGATTTGTATGCTGAAAACTACAAAACGCTGATGAAAGAAATCAAAGACTGGAATGAATGAAGAAACATACCATGTTCATGGATTGGAAAACTCATAAAGATGTCAATTCTTCCCTGTCTAATTCCTGTAATTCATATTGAAATCCCAGCAAGATTTTTAAAACCTATATACGAGATTATTCTAAAGTTAGACGTAAAGGCAAAAGAACTGGAATTGCCAAAACAGTTATAAAACATAGGAATAAAGTTGGAGGACTCACTCGACCCGATTTCAAGACCTCTTATGTAGCTATAGTAATCAAGACTGTTATTGGCAGAGAGGTAGACACAGAAACCAATGGAACAGAATAGAGAACATAGAAATAGCCCCATACAAGTATGGCCAACTGATTTTTGACAGAGGTGCTAAAGCAGTTCAAGAGAAAAGATGGCTTTTTCAAAAAATGGTGCTGGAGCAATTGGATAATTCTTGGGGGAAAAAAGATCCTTGACCTAAACCTTATGTCTTATACACAAATTAACTCTATGAATCATAGATTTAAAAGTAAAATGTAAATCTATAAAACTTTTAGAGTATAACATAGGAGGAAATCTTAGAGCCTAGGGCTCGATGAAGACTTTAGACCTGACAGCAGAAGCACGATCCATTTTAAAAAGGATAAATTGATATCATCAAAAATTAAAAATTTTTACTCTGTTGAAAGACCCTGGCAAGAGGGTGAAAAGACAAGCTACGGACTGGGAGAAAATATGTGCAAACCATCTGTCTGATATAGGACTCCTATCTAGAATTTATAAAGAATTCTCAGAACTCAACAGTAAAAAAAACCAAAAATAAACAATCCAGGAGACATTGCACCAAAGAGGATATGTGAATAGCAAACGACCACATGAAAAGATCTTCAGCATCAGTAACCACTAGGGTAATTAATGAAGATCATGATGAGATATCACTTCACAAGTATTAGAAAAAATAAAATATAATAGTGACAATACCAAATGCCAGTGAGGATGTAGAGAAACCGGATCTCTCATGTATTGCTGGTGGGAATGTAAAATGTAATAGCCACTTTGGGAAATAGTTTGGCAGTTTGTTAAAAAACTTAGCATATGTGTTAGGGTTCTTCAAAGAAATGAACCAATAGAATCTGTAAGCTAGACAGATAGCTAAGATAGGTTAGCGAGAGAGATCAGATAGATACTTTGTTTTAAGGAATTGGCTCATACAGTTATGGAGACTGGCAAGTCCAAAATCTGCAGGGTAGGCCAGCAGGCTGGAGACCCAGGGAAGAACCAGTGTTAGTTCATGTCAAGGCCATTTGCTGGCAGAATTCCTTCTTCACTTGGGGAGGTTAGTCTTTGTTCTATTAAGGTCTTCAACTGATTGGACGGGGCCCACCCACATTGTGGAGCACAGTCTGCTTTACTGAAAGTCTGCCGATTAAATGATTATCTCATTCAAAAACACCCTCACAGAAACATCCAGAATAATGTTGAACCAAATATCTGGGCACCATGGTCCAGCCAAGATGACAGAAAATTAATCGTCACATCCTATAACCCAGCTATTGCACTCCTGGGCATTTATCTCAGAGAAATGAAAACTTACTTCCACACAACAACCCTTACAAGATTGTTCATAGCAGCTTTATTTGTAAATAGCCAAAAACTGGAAAAACAAATGTCCCTCAATAGGTGAATGGTTAAACAAACTGTGGTACGTCCATACCGTGGAATCCTTCTCAGCAATAAAAAGGAATGAATTCTTAATACGTGCAACAACTGGGGTAATCTTGAGGGCATGACGCCGAGTGAAAAAAGTCAGTGTCAAAAGGCCACATGCTGCATGATTCCATTTACATAATAGTCTCAAAATGAGAACATTATAGAAATGAAAAAACGGATGAGTGATTGCCAGGGCTTAGGGGTGGTGGAAGATGGAGGCAAGGAGGTGGGTGTGACTATAAAGGAGGAGCGAGGGGGAGGTCTCTGTGGTGATGGAGCAGTTCTGTATTTTTGTTGAGGTGGTGCTTGCACACATCTCCACATGTGATAACAGGACAGAGAATATACACACGCTGGATCCTAGTGTCGGTTCCCCGGTATTGCACTGGAATTGTGTCTGATGTAGTCAATGAAGGAGACTGGGTGAAGGGAACATGGGACCTCTTTGTACTATCTTTGCAACTTATGTTAATTCATAATTGCTTCAAACTAAAAAGTATTTTAAAAAACTATTTTGACATATCTTTTTTTTTTCTTACTTCCTTTTGGACAAAATATTTTCCCAAAAGAGTTTGCATATACAGTCAGCCTCCATATCCGAGGGTTCCACATCCTTGGATTGAACCCATTGTGGATCAAAAGGCCTATGATGGTTGCATCATTGAAATGCACATATTTTTTTTCTTGTCGTTATTCTCTATCAATACAGTATAATAACTGTTATATAGCATTTACATCGTATTAGGTATTATAACTAATCTAGAGATGATTTAAAGTACACAGGAGAGTGTGCGTGGGTTATATGCAAATACTATGCCATTTTATAGAAGTGACTTGAGCGTCCGTGGATTTTGGTGTCTGGAGGTCCTGGAAGCAGTCCCCTGTGCCTACTAAGGGGCAGCTGTACTGTGGGAATTTACGGAAACAGTATATAAGCCAGATAGCCTGAGGAGTCCTGAGTTATTTAATGTATGGATTGAAGTGCTTATTGAATTTGTAAGTATATAGTCGGCCTTCTTTTTAAATGCTGCCTCAAAATGATATCTGTAAATTTAAATGATTAAAGTTAAAGATGCTTGTGTTAGGAGTTCTACTTTAATTTGTGAAAATGTTGACCTGATTGGCTTTGAATTATTTAATTATTATGTAACTCAGAAGATATCTAAGTATAATCTTAATGTGCTCTTTTCAGTTTATTGTATTTGTCATGATGAATGTTAAAATTTGGATGACTGTTTGAACAATCTTACTAGCATGCTCCCTGATGAACAATACTGTAACTTTTATTTTTGCCAGTATTCTTCAGCATCCAAATATTCTTCAGTGTGTTGGACAATGTGTAGAAGCAATTCCCTATCTTCTGGTGTTCGAGTTCTGTGACTTGGTAAGTTTTTAGTAGAAATTCAAGGTCAGGCATTCAAAAGGTTATACTCAAGTGTTGGGCCAGATGGAAGTGCTGGATGAGAGGCTGCTTTCATTTCTCCCATTTTAAGAACTGTGCGACGTGTTAGTTCATTACCTTTGGTGGTAGCATTAGCTGGCACACGTGTTGTCTTATACTCCATCCTTATGCTAAGCTGTTTGCGTGCATTTAGTCATATTTGTCCTCATTTTAAATATGGTTAAAATAAGCCTCAAGGAGACTAAGAAAATGTGGTGTATTCAAGTATGTGGCCGAGCCAGAGCTTGGGCCAGGTTTGCCCTTCCTGAGAGCTTGAGGTCTGCACTTCACCTGGGCATTTGGAAACGCTTTTCCCCGTGAGGGAGCTCAAGAATCTCCTTACCCAGAGAGTACCCACAATCTTTCAGTTTTTTTAGAAACAGCCAATGTGTGTAACATATTTCTGAATAATTAGTTGGTTTGTTTTCTTAACCTAAAATTAATGGCCTCGTTTAGGTATTACTAAGATTTATAGTTGGAAAGATTATTCTTTGTGCTGGTTTTATGAATAATAATTTTTATGTGAAAATTTCCTGTAAATGTCTTTTTTTTAAGCTAGGTTTTGATTGATTTCTTGGCATCATCTCAGTTTTCAGAACATTAAAACTGCGTTGATGGTGCACAGGAAAGTGGGAGGACACCAAAATAAATCCCTGTTAATTCAGACAATATTTTCAGCTGGTAAAGTTGAAAGACAGCAGTAAACATTGTGAATTTTTGTTTTAATTTCAATGAAAAATTATTAATAAACTCGATATATTAGCTTTCATTGGATTATGTTGTAGTAGCCCCCCAAATCTCAGTGGCTAATAAGAAGAAATGGTTCTCACTCATCTTCCACGCCAGCTCTGGGTCAGCTGTAGCCCTGTTCCAGGCTACGTTTATCTTCACCCTAGGATTGGTATTTTTTTTGTATCTGTAGATGCTGGAGGAAAAGAAAAAATGTATTCTAATGTTCTATATAGTGTATCTGTATGGATCTTCTGAGTCAAGTTTGTGAGGTTGTTCAGAATTCTTATATCCTTCTAATTGGGGGGGGTGGGAATTGAGGGGGCCCAAGTCAGTTTTCTATCCGTTATTGAGAGGCATATTAAAATCTCCTGCTCTATGAATTTTTCTTATAATTCTAGTTGTTTTTGCTGTGTACATTTTGATTCCCTCTTGTGTCAGGGATACAAATTTAGAGTTGATACAACTTCCTGTAATTTGAACCTTTTATCATTATGAAGGGGATTTCTTGAAGATTAAAAGCATTACTAAGGATAAAGTCTGTTTTTGCAGATAGTAATATAGTTGCACCAGTTTTCTTTTGGTTAGAATTCGCCTATTTGTCTCTGTCAGTCCTTTTCTTATGTTTATAAACAAACCCTTCTCTTATAAATAGCTTATTGTAAAAGTTGTTTTTATCTGTCAGTCTTGGTCACTTAACATGCAATGTATAGTCCATTTACGTTTATTGTATCTGTAGGATGTTTGGAATTTTGTGTACCTATTTTGCATTATTTTTCCTGCCTGTTTCAATGTTTCTCTTTTGCTTTTTTCATAGCCTTCTTTTGGATTCTTGTTGGTTTTTTTTTTCCTTGTTTCAATTTTCCCTGTCTCCTAGTTTGGATTTTAGATATGGTTTCTTAATTTTGTGTATGGTTACATGAGAAATTAGAACATGCGTATTTAATTTAACAAAGTCTAAAATTAATCACTATTTTATCCCTCCTTCAAAAAAGCTGGGACCTCATAGAGCTCTTTCTCCGTGTGGGAAAACTGGAATTAAGCCCACTTCTCTGCCATCTCACGTTTTCCTCCATCACGGAGGCTGCGTATTTGTTGAGCACTTGTGTAGCACAAGGCAGCATGCTGCACTCGGCATGCAGAGAGAAATTTGGTCCTGGCCCTCAGGTTTCCTACTGAAAGGGAGCAGACATGTGAGAATTGCCGTTCAGCCTGATAAATATTGAATGGAAGCATGAGGGTTAAGAGGAAGGAATTCTCACTGGGGTTTCTGATAGTTTTATTGCATATTATATTTTGCTTTGATTGTCTCAGCATTATCAAAGTTATAATATTTATGGTCCTGGGTTATTGTAGTGTGAAAGTAGCTCCTTTTAATCTAGCTCTATGTGACCAATATGATAGGTGATTCTGTGCTGAGACAGAATTTGAGGGAAAATAGACCACAAAGATGCATTTTTGTGTGATGAGACAAGTCTGCTTGTCAGAAGTCTATTTTTCTGAGACATTTAATGGTGCCCTTTCTGGGCCCCTCAGCTCCTGATACTGATTATAAATAACAATCAGAACACTCTCCATGAGTGAGCATAACAGAAATACAGCAGGAATTAGCATCTACTTGAAATTTCACCTTTCCAGGCTAATTGAGGTGGTTTGTAAAACTATCTCATATATTTTGGCATTTTCCTGTTCTTATTCACCCTCTGGGTCCATTCCTGAACATTTTCTTAGACAATGTAGTTGTTTTTCCTGGAATGGTAAAAGACTGGATGCTCAGCTTAATGTTTTCTTCTGAATGGGTTCAGGTGATAGGGTTAGTGTTAGTGCTATTCTAATTTATTTTTTAATGAGACTGCCTGTTTTTGGGGGGATTAGTAGTTTAACCTATTTTATAAAGAAATGCTAAAACGTTGCAAAACACACAAATAACTCCTTTTCAGTTTCCATATATGACCCAGTATTGACAAGATTCTAGACTATTCTTTGTCATTGTTTCTATGTAAATCTAATTTTCATGTAAATATAATAAAACATATGTTTTTTAACTTGACGTTCTTTTCATAAAATTTTTTCCCAGTACTTTCAGATCTCAGATTTAAGTGCATATTCTCTAAGTACTGAGACTAATTCAAAGCATATTAACTTATCTCAATTTGCATCAGCTTTTGTATTTTGGGGTGAAGATTGTGCATACAGTGCTCCAGAATTAACAAATGTGGCTCCTTGAAACACGTATTTTATGTGACCCTCCTAAGTTACATTGGGGAAATGTTCTCTCCTGAAAGCTAAACGTGTGGAAAGAGCCCTTGTCACCACCGAAAGCTTTCATTGGCGGTGTGGAGCTAATAGCTATTTTTAATTTAAGTGCACCACCCAATGGTACCTTGATCAGCAACAACATTTTTTAAATGATAATTGTTCCTCAAAAGATTAAAATAGAATTACCACGTGATCCAGCAATTTCACTTCTAGGTACATAGATCCCAAATAATTGAAAGTAGGATCTCAAAGAGATATTTGCACATTCATGTTTGTAGCAGCGTTATTCACAATAGCCAAGAGATGGAAGCAACCCAAGTGCCCATCGACAGATGATTAAATAGACAAGATTGGGTATATCCATGCAAGGGAGTATTGTTCAGGCTTGAAAAGGAAGGTAATTCTGACACGTGCTGCCACGTGGGTGCACCTTGAGGTAAAACAAGAAAGAAAGAGTGGTGGTTGCTGGGGACTCTGGGGAGGGGGCCATGGGGAGTTACTGTTTCATGGTACGGAGTTCCGGCTTGGGGTGATGAAGGGAAGAGCTCTGTCGGTGGATGTTGGTGATGGCTGTACAGCAGTGTGAGTGGACTTAATGCCCCTGAACTGCACACCTAGAAACGGTTATGAAGGTACTTTTATGTTACGCGTTTTTTGCCACAATTTAAAAAAAGGTTGTGCCCTCTGCTTTGGCGGCCTGGCGTTTGCTGGTTCAGATCCTGGGCATGGACCTAAGCACTGCTCATCAAGCCATGCTGTGGCAGCATCCCACATGGAGGAACTGGAATGACCTGCAACTAGGATTACAGCTATGTGCTTGGGCTTTGGGGAGAAAAAAAACAAAATGATTGGCAACAGATGTTAGCTCAGGGCCAAGCTTCCTCACCAAAAAAATCATTCTTCAAAAAAGAAAATTTGTTTTTAAGAAAAGGTTGATAATAACCTACTATATTATTTAAGGTACTGTACCACGTATTACCTATACTAGGAGGAGGCTAGGGTGCTCTTGGGAAATCTGTTGGTCAGTGCTTAGAATGGTCAGTCTCATATCAAAGACCATTAACCCAGGGATCCCTCCACCTTGCCCAGTAGCAAGAGGTCACATTTGTCTCGTTGGGCAGTTTCATGATCATCACCTCTGGGCCCTTCTAAACTTGAGAGGAAACAGGCTCTTGACCCAACAGGGTCCCCAACTCTGAAGTCCGGTTCTCTGGGCTCACTGTATGCGGAGACTGTGTGGCAGGAACCGTCAGGTAGCGTCATCCCAGTGAAGCAGAGGGACCCCACCTGCAGTGATTGCAGGGACGTCCCCGTGACACACCAAAGCCTGGCTTTGATGCCACACCCACTCCTAGGCTGCATGCCCCAGAACCCTCCCAGAAATAGGCCAGCCTGAGCAGGGGGTGTCATCCAAGGCAAAACTGCCCACTGGCCGGGCTCCAAAGGACAGAGAGGGCGCTAGCCCCTGCCTGGTAATAAGCAGCTGCAGCCCCAGTGAAAGGAGCCACTATCTTCACATGTTCTCACTGGCTCAGGAGCTATTGAGTGAACGTTGGCCTCCTCAGTCGTCACCAGGCAGTGATCATGCTCAACGATAATATCTTTTAAGTAGAAAGGAAGGAATATTTTTGCATTGAAGTAATCCTTTGTAAGATGGAATTGCCAGTCTGTTTTTGAAAAGCACTTTATCTTGTAATTTTTATGAAAGAAAATGAATACTCTTCTGATTGAGTTTGGTAGCTGGATTGCAGCCACCGATTTGTGATGCTGATGGTGCCTTGTTTATGAAAGGACAGGTTTCTGCAGGGTGTTGTGTAAAACTTGTTGCCACAGGAGGTGCATAGTACTCTCACATGAATATGGAGGCCATGAGATTGTTCTTTGGTTAAGGATCAGTCATTCATCAGAAACGTATCCAGCACCTAGTAAGTACAAAGAGCTGTGCGCAGTGCCCT